ATCTATCTTAGGTTATTCCTATTATAGTTGTGTTGGTAACATAGCTTGTCAAGGCTATGAATCGTTTATGGCAATAGAATTCTACTTGGTCATTTGACAATTTGGTCATGTACCTATTTGGCCATATGGCAATTTGGCCTTATATCCATTTGGCAATATGATTATTGGCCATGTATCTAGTTGGCCTTATGACAATTTGGCCATGTATGTAGTTGGCCTTGGGTGAAACGGCCCTTTTTCTCCTCGGCCATATTTCATCTCCTTTAATCAATACATCTGTCATGTCTAGCCCTAGCCTGTTATGTGCTAGAACCTCAATAGCCAACTGGTAAGGTATTATTAAAACTGTTGTTTCTCTGGCTTACGTGGCTTATCATTGGTACCTGCAAGACATGGATTATCTCAGGGGCAAGGTTAGTGTACCGGCTACATGGTGACTGGCTGCATGGTGACCGGCTACATGGTGACCGGCTGCATGGTGACCGGCTACATGGTGACCGGCTACATGGTGACAAGCTACATGGTGACCGGCTACATGGTGACCGGCTCGGCTACATAGTGACCGGCTACATGGTGACCGGCTATATGGTGACCGGCTACATGGTGACCGGCTATATGGTGACCGGCTACATTGTGACCGGTTAAATAGTGACCGGTTAAATAGTGACCGGTTAAATAGTGACCGGTTAAATAGTGACCGGTTAAATAGTGACCGGTTAAATAGTGACCGGTTAAATAGTGACCGGTTAAATAGTGACCGGTTAAATAGTGACCGGTTAAATAGTGACCGGTTAAATAGTGACCGGCTACATAGTGACCGGTTAAAAACTGACCGGTTAAATTGGGGACACGTTAAATAGTGACCGGTTAAATAGTGACCGGTTAAATAGTGACCGGTTAAAATGTGACTGGCTACATGGTGACTGGTTAAATAGTGACCGGCTACATTGTGACCGTTTAAATAGAGACCGGCTACACGGTAACCGGTAAAATATAGACCGGCTACATTGTGAGCGCATAATTTGCAATAGTGTTGACAGTCCCGGTGATGTAAGCGTGACGTAAACACTCCACACAGCGCGCGTGAGTTTTTATCGTGAGTGACACATCCGCCCTTCCGCACGGTTGAACGTGAGCCGTCTAACGCTGACCAGCACAGCGCGAGACGTGTGCGAAATGCTAAGACACAGGGCGGGGCGGCTGAGGCTTAGCACGAGGCCCTCGACCCCACCCCCTAACCCGCCCATTCTGACACTGGCACGTGCGCTGGTAAAACGACGGTCCACGAATCGTGAGTTGACGGGCTGCTCACTCCCAGTCGTTGGTTGGTGAGTTACGCTCATTTTCATCCCCCCTTCCCCTTTTATTTTAAACACAGAATGTTCTAGAATCCAATCCCCCTTCATCTCCAAGGATCATGTTATGGTGGGGTAAGAATAAAAGGGGGGTGACAGCTTTTTAAACCAGGGGCGGAGACGGTCGGTGGGGGAAGAAAATCAATGAATGGCTCCTCGATCTTCTAACCTGTCCCCGTGCCACTGGCATTGTTGGCGAAGATGCGATCGATGAGAGGTCATGAATATTAAGCAATTATCGATCCAGGGAGCGGCTCGCGCAAGGCGCGCGGGGCCCCTGGATACAGGGGAGTGACGTGCTGGGTTAAAAAATGAGAAAGGGACGAGCATGCGAGGATGAGGACTGGACGGAGACTGGCCCCTCCAGAACAAGCTCACGCTGTATGAGTGATCGAAAACTCATTGACAGAGCGACGCGAGGACTCGTAAAGTTGCGGCGGAGTGAAAGAACGGGACAGTCGGACGCCTTGAGGATTTTCAGCCGAGGGTCATATTCAATGTGGCTCCCACTTCGCGTTGGAGTTGGCTCTCATTAGGATAATTGAATGTGTTTTAACTTGTGATAGGTGCTAGGGTTAATGTTTTTTTGCCAAACCTACAACGTCACGTGATACATAGTTAGTGAGGTTTTTGGTTCACCCATCAGTTTTATGCTGAGCTCGTTATCTCGATATTCATTAACTGCGTGTTGGAATTGTGAAATTTGATGTACTGATTTTAATTAAATTTACAATTTCTTGCGTTAGTTAAAAAATAGTTTTAAAATAAGTGTCAGACTTAGACTGGAATACTTTCTAGCGTTCAACAAGTGGTTGTTTAATAAGATTTATTTTTACAAAAAAATAGAAGTATTCTATTTTAAACTTCAACGTTATTTATGTTTTTTGAACCAAAAGATTTTATTTTTAATGTGTAAAAACAATATTTTAAAAGCATATCATACTATTGTTGGATTTGGTCGATCATTAGCCTATAGGACTTAGAGTGAGGTTTTATAAACTGTATTTATTTTAATAAGAAAAGGTCCTAAAACATCTGATAAGATTGGATCGAAAAGCTGGGACTCTCATATTCAACTCAAGTTCAGCTAGTTAAGAGTAATAATTCCAGAAGTATCGTAAAGTTTGTTTAGTTTGGTTAGCGTGTTGAAAACGTGGAGGCGTTTTATGTTTATCTAAAGTCGAGAGGTCTTACGCCTACTTCGTGTGATTAGTTTTGTAGATTTGATCTTTAAAGTGTGTTGATTGCGGTGTTTGCTAAACTTCGAGGATTATTTTACACGCTAATTTACTCTACGATTTAGACGGCATTAAATATATAACATATTCGGTATTAGAAAAAAATACATTTAATAGCAAAAAAAAAAAACCCTCATAAAACCAGGTACAAAATAACGTGATCTAGATTAGATGTAAGTAAAGTTAAATGAAAATCGCACAGTACAAAAGTAGCGATCAGCGCTGCAAATCTATACCGCCATCCGATACCTTAGTCTCAACCCACGTCGAAATCAGTGTCAGAAATATTTCTTAACTTACATGGTGACCACAAATATAGTTTAAAATTTTTAAAAAGTGAAGGTGTCATCGTATTAAGAAATTTTTTAAAAATACTTTCCAATAGCTGTATTATTTAGAAAAAAATCATGTTTGTATGGACAAAGCCAAACCACATGTGGTCAAAGCACTGCTTACCAATATATATATATATATATATATATATATATATATATATATATATATATATATATATATATATGTTCCCTTTTACAAAATAACGGAAGTGATGTCATTATTATCTTGATAAAAATCCCATGTAATAATCTTGTAATCAAGTTAATCTAACGATCTAATTTAATATTCAATATTTTTTTTTAAACCGGTCTTTCATTTCTAACTCTGCTAGGTAACAAACGAGCATTTCGCACATCTCATTTTACCCTTCATAAAAATACTTCCCATTTTACTGGTTAGAGTTAGAATGTTCAGTGTTTTGCGGTTTAGCGTAAAGGTTGTGAGAAAGGAAAAAGTATTATCTTCCGTTCGTGTAACGTTATGTTTTATTCTTCAGTCGCTTATAATACTTTGCTATATGCTCCTAAATACTAATCTTTATTTTCATATCGGCTTTTTTCTGTCAGTAAATACTTCATTGGTATATATCTTAAATCATTCCAAAACACCAAAGCAAACTTTGATGTTAATTTTAAAAAAAAAGCAGTAATATACAAAAGAATATACCAATAATATAACAATAAAAACACGTTATTTATTTGGCATAATGTTGATTCATGTTTATTATGTATATCTACTCAAAAGCTGCGTCTTTGTAAATTAAAAAAATTCGTCTTTAATAAAATCTCTAAACTAACATTAAAGTCCCGTGTAAAGAACTTAAAACGCAGTTTCTGTTGTTACGATTGTATGTGTTTACTTATGTCCAACTTATGTCGGGTACCCGCAGTAGCTTAGTTGACGTTGATATTTCTCTATTATCTGCCAGGCCGACTTAGAACGGCAACCACCAGGGTAGTGGCCACCCGCTCTATCAAACGACCACTTGTTTACGTTTGTTTTCTAACTGGTCAGGAGTAGTTAAAAAGAAATTAAGGCTTGCGTTAGTTTAACGACTGCGGCAAGGTTCAAATGTTAGTTCTAAAGAACATCCTGTTTATTACGCTAATTCTAGGGTCGTGTTCAAGAACGCTAGTTTTATAGAAGATTGTGTTCATGAAGAAAATTGTATAGAACATCGTAGTTATAACTCTAATTCTAATATCTTGTTCAAGAACGTAGTTCTTTAGAAGATGGCGAGTTAGCGATTCAAAATTTAGTTTGTAGAAAAAAAATTTATTCTCAGCGTCAATCAAAATCTATCAAAATCTTATTTAAAATATTTGAAATATAGGACTTACAGTATTTTAAAAATAGTTTTATAATATATATTTATATTTAGTTTATATAGGCTACACTTCCATTGTGTGGTTTAAACTGCTTTTGAAAAACAAAATACATAACAAGAGTTTCATCTTCTTGTTAGTATACAAAAATGCAATTAGCATGTAATTAGTAAATTATAAATTATTTTACGTGTAATTGCACAGCTTTAGTAATGAAATATTCATACAATCCATTTTTTTATGGAATTCAAAGTCGAAAATTATTTTTTTTATACGATAACCACTTGTTGATGTCGCTCTACATCATGTACAGACCAAATTTAGAACTGTAGTTTGATACTCGAAAAACGAATACATAAGAATTTTAAGCCTAGAATTTTTTTTTATTGTAAACAGATTGCGAACAATATTAAAATTAAATATACTGTAGCCAATATTTTAAGCTTGGTTTTTTATTAGTACAAACTTAAATGTTTAGCTATTATTAACTTTAAATTTTACATAAAATATAATCGTTCTTTTAGTGTTAAGATATATATTCACGAATAAGATTAAATAAAAGTTTAATTAAATAACAGCTTAAATTAAATTTAAATTAAACAATAGTTTAAATTTGATTTAAATTTAACAAAAGCTAAAATTTATCAAAAATAGATTTTAGACAGTTTTTTTTATGGTTTTAAACGAAATTCTACTTTTTGCCAGATTTTTTCAAATTTGTGTATTGTTTATCATAGAATCCGGTTTTAGATTGACCTTGTAATTTGGTGCTTTAAAATAATGATCTTTGTGAGAATCTTCTGGATTTTTCTTCTGGAATAAACACACCAGGCTATAGATCAGTGCTTGACAGGACTTTAGTCAGTGCCAGACTGCAGTTTGGTTAGTGCTAGACTGGTCTTTGGTCAGTGCTAGACTTCGGTTTTGGTCAGTGCCGGACAGGACTTAAGTCAGTGCCAGAGTGAGGTTTGGTTAGTGCTAAACTGGACTTTGGTCAGACTTGGCCGTTGTTATTGCCGGACAGGACTTTGATCATCACTTGGACCCCCAGTGCCCCAACTTGACCCGGAAGTCATCAGTCTGATGTCAGACGACAGGTGAGACCTACCTGGACTGACCACCACACCCTCCCCCACCCAGCAGCCTGCCGGTCTGGATATCTCACGAGCTCCGTACAGCAAGTTCGCCCACAGGTCCAGCAGCATGTGGGCCCAGATGTCCAGTGTGTGTATATCGCCCGGACCCAGCCCACCGGCCGCGGCATTGGCTGATATGATCACGAGGAGTCAGTTCTTAGAAGGTAATTCAGTGGTGTTGGTGGATGTGTGCTGGGGCTAGGGTAGGGGCTAGGGTAGGGGCTAGGGTAGGGGCTAGGGTAGGAGCTAGGGTAGGGAGTAGGGTAGGGGCTAGGGTACGGGCTAGGGTAGGGGCTAGGGTATGGGCTAGGGTAGGGGCTAGGGTAGGGAGTAGGGTAGGGGCTAGGGTACGGGCTAGGGTAGGGGCTAGGGTAGGGGCTAGGGTAGGGGCTAGGGTAGGGGCTAGGGTACGGGCTAGGGTAGGGGCTAGGGTAGGGGCTAGGGTAGGGGCTATGGTAGGGGCTAGGGTAGGGACTAGGGTAGGGGCTAGGGTACGGGCTAGGGTAGGGACTAGGGTAGGGACTAGGGTAGGGGCTAGGGTAGAGGCTAGGGTATGGGGCTAGGGTATGGGGCTAGGGTAGAGGCTAGGGTAAGTCATAGGGCAGGGGCTAGGGTAGGGGCTAGTGTAGGGGCTACGATAGGGTATAGGGCAAGAGATACGGCAGGGTAGGGGTTAGGGTAGAAACTAGGGCAGGGGATAGGACAGGGTTTAGTGTAGGGGCTAGGTTAGGGGGATACTGAAAAGGCAAGGGCAGGGGCTAGGACAAGAGCTAGGGTAGGGAAGAGGACTGATTAGAGGGGAGACTATGGCAGGGTTTAGAACAGGGGCCCGCGCATGGACTATGTATATGCTAAAGTATGAATTATATTATGAAATAGTGGTAGGAGCAAATGTACAGGATAGCACAGTGCAGTGGCTACATTAGAGGCTAGTTTTGGAGCTAAAGTAGGGGCTATGACAAGAGCTATGGTAAAGGCTAGTTTTGGAGCTAAGGTAGGGGCTAAGACAAGAGTTATGGTAGAGGCTAGTTTTGGAGCTAAAGTAGGGGCTAAGACAAGAGCTATGGTAAAGGCTAGTTTTGGAGCTAAGGTAGGGGCTAAGACAAGGGCTATGGCAGTGCAATGGAAAGTACAGAGGACAGTGCAGAAGCTAAAGGCCAATCCGCTCCAATTAGGGGTGTGTTAAGTATCTAGGGTAGAAGGGAGAATTATCCTACGCATAAACAGTATCTTTAGTACATCAACTAAAAATAATATTATCCATTATGTACCGTATAATAAAACATGCGTTACATGTATATAGATAGATCTCTTTCCTTTGGTGTATTGAAACTTGCTTCTAATTTTATAAAAAAGCCAATCCAAACATATGCGAGTTAAATAATGCTTATACACAGCGGGTTGTCGATTATTTAAGTTAGACTATCGTCCTACTATCAATAACGCGACGACGTATTCTTGCATTCATTTCCCTACATTTGATAACAGAGTTAATTTCAAATAGAATGGCCCGTCAAATTCCCGAATCTATTGAGTGGTCGGTAACATTTTGCCATTTTTGTGACTATTATTTCTATAGTATAGATAAGTTAACATGGAGTAGAAATAAAGTATAGGCCCACTTTTGTTTCCTGTAATTTATTATAGAAATTTTAAATAGAAAGTTAAGAATGACAAGAACATTTTATATTTCAACGCTGTATTTGGAAACACGCCGTCTACTTTTTGTAAAATACTGTACTTATTTGTACCTGTCGGATTGAAAGCAGTGTTTCTTTCAGAAATCTTTTTTGGAGTGGCATTCGTGGCACTTGAAACTTTCAGGCAGGGGAGTGGTGGTGGGGGGTGGGGGGTCGGACTTCCCAAGTGGGAGGGGATTCACTGGTAACAGTATATATTTTCTATATTAAAATTCATTTCGTTGGATAAAGGGGGGGGGGGGGTTGGGCGGTTGACTCTGATTCTTGTTTTAAAAAAAAGTATGTACATAGAATAAAAAAGTCTGTACTTTTTAAAATATATTTATTTTTAATCTAAAATATCCAGTTACCAAATAATAATAGTTTGGATTAGTTACACAACACTCATAGGTGACTGTGTACGTAATTGTATGGCATTTTTATACACACCATTATACCACTTATTTAGCATTTTGTATAATATATCATACATTTAGAGAAAATACATAAAGCTACTTTTTTATATAACCTCCCCCCCCCCCACTACCTGTTTACAAAATTTAAAAAAAAATTTTACCAGTGTCCTACCCCTATGCCTCTCTCCCCTATAGAAAAATGTGCGAAAGAAACAATAGCTACGACATTAAATTACGGGCAAACATAAAAAATTTTGTCACGACATAACAACATATTTATTCATTTCAAGTCGTTGCAGTATTATGTTACGCACTTTTTTTGTATACTGATAAAACATTACTGGGTCAATTATTGAGCTCAAATTAATTTGTATTAATAATCATTCGTGCATTTTGTGGTTTGTAAAATTCGTGCTTCATTTATTGTTTTTTAAACGCTAAAGAGTACGATGGAGAGACACCAAGAGAGAGAATGTGTGAAAGAACAAAAAATCGTTTAAGCATGGTATCTTCATGGTCGTTGTCTTGTTTCTCAAATAAAAAAAAAACATTCTCCCCGCTTGAGATATTCAAGATTGGACAATACCGAGGTATCAACGGGACTTCTTCAGTAGTGAAACCCTTACGCCGGCTGCCGGCTGCCGGCTTTGGCCCGGCTCTTGACTCGGCTAACTCTGCCGGCAGCTTGAGCGCCGTGCACACCTCTATGAAAAGGCGCCGGCACAAAGCCCAAGTTCACGGAAGCCGTTCAGATCAAATCGGCACTTCCGGTATTCGGTTGCCATGTGAATCCGTGCGCATGCGTGCAGCTCGACAACTAGCTTCCTGTTTCCGTCACTTTTACAAGCCCCGTTCTTCAACAACTTTAGAGATGTTTTTAACCGGAGACCGGCGGATACTAGTGCGGTCAAATACGTCGATGTAAAACATGTAAAAACACGGACTAAAGTACCGGATTTTTCCGGTGTATTAGAATACAGTGTATAACACGACCACCCAACTTTCGCTCTGTATTGATGACAAATTTTATATGGCACGGCCGGACATATAAATTGTTACCAACTTGTCTAGTTTAAATAGACTTTAGGGTATACTTACGCAATGAAGACGACTCCCGGAGTATAGAAGATTTTCCTGATAAAATGGTGTGTGTTAAAGAGTAAAACATGTCGGCGGGAGGGGGATTAAAAGATAAAATATACTGAAAAGTTTTTCGAGCCCATTTTAAATATGATAAATATCTGCATCAAGTGGATTATTTAGTTCGCGTTTTCAAAAAAAAATGGTGTATTTTTCTTTCTAATATCGATACCATTATACCGTCATTACATCTAACTGTGGCTTTAACCATAACCACATCATTAACATGTGTAACACCACACGCTAATGCTGGTCATAGCTTCTGAGCTTAGCTCTGACGCTAAAATTAACCATTACTGTAAAAAAAAATTAACTAGCTGATGTTATACTGTTAAAGTTTCTGTGCTTTAACTAGAATGGCGTTTTCATGAGAGCCTTGAAAAAAAACACAATTTTAGAAAAAATAATTACAAAAAAATGATGTGAATGTTTGTAAGTTAATGACAACATTGTTTGTTTGTACCATAGTTACAGTGAGGCTTGTAGGTTAATTAAAATGTTTGGATAATAATTATAATCAGGTTTTTAGGTTAATTAAAACGGTTTTCATATCCTCGTGAATAAGTTTCATCCAGTCCAGTTATCACTGATGTGCTTTGTCTTAATAATGTGTGTTTAGAAATATTAGCTTTCACAACATACATAAATACACACAATTGCAATGTGCATTGTTTTACGTGTAATGTGTAATTAAGAAAGATCACCCTCCAACACAACCACCACATACACACACATCCAAACGTCCACACGTCCACACGTCCACACGTCCACACGTCCACACGTCCACACGTCCACACGTCCACACGTCCACACGTCCACACGTCCACACGTCCACACGTCCACACGTCCACACGTCCACACGTCACACGTCCACACGTCCACACGTTCACACATCGACACATCCACACATCCACACATCCACACATCCACACATCCACATATCCACACACCCACACACCCACACATCCACACATCCACACATCCACACATCCACACATTCGAAATGTGCAGTTCATACGTGGTTAACTAAGATAATAAAAATACGTAACAACACGCACACACACAACACTAAACATTGTCTTTACATTTTGTAGTAAATTTATAAACAACCTACACACACTCTCACACACACGCCATCCTCACACACCACTACACACTTCCCTGCCCTACTTCTATTAACATTTTTTAAAGAGTAAGACGAATGAACTTTCACGAAATGGATATGCTTTGCTTCGTTCTGTAAACATAAAAATTGCGTCTTAAGATGAATGGTTGATTACGTCTGTGCGTATCGTATTACCGAGTTCAACACACTCGAGTCAATGTGTTTTAGTTGGATTTGTTGATGGGTAAACTAGTAGTTTATTCCAGGCATCTCTACGGGCGAGTGTTAGATCACTGGTCAGACCGACTTCAATTGGCGCCATCTCCGTAGTGAGGCCTTAAGTGACCCCCCCCCCCCCCAGAGAAATACTTTTACCAGTGTCTCACCCCCTCGGAAAAAGTCCGCACCCCCCTTCCCTTCAGAATATCTCTGTTTCCTACTACCTCTGTTTGCCACTAACCTCTATTGTTGTCACTAACCCCTGATTTTGCCACTACTTTGTTTGCCACTTCCTCTGGTTGCCATTACCTCTGTTTACCACTACCTCCGTTTGCCACTAACCTTTGATGATGCCACTACTTCTGTATGATATTACCCCTGCTGTAGTAATTAACCGTTGTCATTCTATTGATCAAAGAACACCACGAGTAAATGTTATGGTAATAAAGATGCGTTCACAAAGTAAATAATCTTCAAGCTAATCTGCAATCATAATAGAGAATACACGGACTGGGAAGACTTGCCTCAAGCGTGTAGTGTATCAGTTCAGTGACAGAGTGCCATTTGGTGTAGAACTGTGAGATGATCTGCTAGCAAAGACACAG